CCTGTGTAATACGGTTGTTACCCTGTGTAATACTGTTGTTACCCTGAGTAATACTGTTGTAACCCTTTGATATACTGTTGTTACCCTGTTTAATAACATTGTTACCTGTGTAATACTGTTGTTACCCTGTGTAATTCTGTTGTTACCCTGTGTAATACTGTTGTTTCACTGTGTAATACTCTTGTTACCCTGTGTCATACTGTTGTTACCCTGTGTAATACTGTTGTAACCCTTTGATATACTGTTGTTACCCTGTGTAATACCATTGTTACCTGTGTAATACTGTTGTTACCCTGTGTTATACTGTTGTTACCCTGTGTAATACTGTTGTTACCCTTTGTTATACTGTTGTTACCCCGTGTAATACTGTTGTTATCCAGAGTAATACTGTTGTTACCCTGTGTAATAATGTTGTTACCCTATATAATAATATGAGTATTACTTTGATCAAGTAACCGTTTTCGCTACTATACGTAAAATTCAGGGCCCTCGTAATGACCTGGAACTAGTTATACCCCATGACTTGTTCTGTGGTGACAGACATGACTTGTTCTTTGGTAACAGACATGACTTGGTCTGTGGTAACAGACATGGCGTGTTCTGTGGTAACAGACATGACTTCTTCTGTGGTAACAGACATGACTTGTTCTGTGGTAACAGACATGTAGTAGCAACATGACAAGCAGTATGAGAATTAGTAACATAAAGTGGCCACGTTCGTGTAGTTGCTGGTACAGTATGATTACAAGTCTCAGTGTAATACAACGATATAGATAAGTTCTACTTTAAATCACAGGGACTTGATGATTTGTTACAGCTACATTTCGACCTAAACTAAGGTGTTCCGACAGAGTGTAGGTCACACTACAACTGTAACAAATTCTCAAGTTCCTGTGGTTGGAAGATGTTTTGTTAAGCACTTCTTCCAAGTATGTTGAGTAAACTTCCGGGAAATGTGAACAGATAAACACATGCCCACACCTAACGTAATACTTGTCCACGTCCTATATCTTCATTATATTACCTTGTAAATGTTATCTAACACGACGGTAATGTTCCCACGCATTTCGTTGCTTTATAATCATGCGCTATTGGTCAAGAATACATGCGCGTGCATATATTAAATCCAGACAAACCATGCACGTGCAACTATCTTTAAAACTTATTGTAATTGTAACAAGTGAGCTGTGTGTGAATTGTGTTGGCAGTATTAGCGTTACAGAGAGGGTAAACGCGTGCATGTACATATCTAGACATTCCCACACATATCCGCGTTTAACGGTCAGATGATGACCATTGAAATGATGACGTCAGCTGTGACATCAGCTTGTTGGTAACATGACAACGGGACATCACGCAACAAACGTCTGCCCTTACAATACAACAGCCTAATTTCAATTATTGTTTTATCTATGTCACTTAGGTAGACAGGACAGTCCAGTCAATTACATTGTGGTAGAATGGCTTATAATCAACAAGCTAAGTTATGGTGGGATATATGAAGAAAGGGAAAATGCTAAAAAAAATATCGAAGGCCGCTTCTGCCCAGGTTGATTACTTGGCAAATATTGTTATTTCAAAGAAATATTATTTGTATCATAGCAACATATTATTTATCAAAGCAACATATTATCTATCATAGCAACATATTATTTATCAAAGCAACATACTATTTATCATAGCAACATATTATCTATCATAGCAACATATTATTTATCAAAGCAACATACTATTTATCATAGCAACATACTATTTATCATAGCAACATATTATCTATCATAGCAACATACTATTTATCATAGCAACATATTATCTATCATAGCAACATATTATCTATCAAAGCAACATATTATATAGTAAAGCAACATATCAAATGTCATAGCAACATGACATAAATCAGAGTTAAATATTATGTATCATAGGAACATAAAATATATCATAGCAACGTATTATATATCATAGCAACATACTATATAGGGAAATATATCACAGCAATATATCATAGCAACATACTATATAGGGAAATATATCACAGAAATATATATCATAGCAACATACTATATAGGGAAACATATCATAGGAATATATCATAGCAACATACTATATAAGGAAACATATCATAGGAATATATCATAGCAACATACTATATAGGGAAATATATCACAGAAATATATATCATAGCAACATACTATATAGGGAAACATATCATAGGAATATATCATAGCAACATACTATATAGGGAAATATATCACAGAAATATATATCATAGCAACATACTATATAGGGAAATATATCATAGGAATATATCATAGCAACATACTATATAGGGAAATATATCACAGAAATATATATCATAGCAACATACTATATAGGGATATATATCACAGCAATATATCATAGCAATATACTATATAGGGAAATATATAATAGGAATATATCATAGCAACATACTATATAGGGAAATATATCACAGAAATATATATCATAGCAACATACTATATAGGGAGATATATCATAGCAACATACTATATAGGGAAATATATCACAGCAACATACTATATAGGGAAATATATCACAGCAATATATCATAGCAATATACTATATAGGGAAATATATAATAGGAATATATCATAGCAACATACTATATAGGGATATATATCATAGCAACATACTATATAGGGATATATATCACAGCAATATATTATAGCAATATACTATATAGGGAAATATATCATAGGAATATATCATAGCAACATACTATATAGGGATATATATCATAGGAATATATCATAGCAACATACTATATAGGGAAATATATCATAGGAATATATCATAGCAACATACTATATAGGGATATATATCATAGGAATATATCATAGCAACATACTATATAGGGAAATATATCATAGGAATATATCATAGCAACATACTATATAAGGAAATATATCATAGGAATATATCATAGCAACATACTATATAGGGAAATATATCACAGCAATATATCATAGCAACATACTATATATAGGAATATATCGTATACCATAACAATATTTTATGCACCGTAGCAACATACGATAAACCATAGAAAAAATAGGTTTCCCATAATTTTCTGTATATCATATTATACATATAATATTATGTATCATAGCAAATATATCATATATAATAATTATAAATATTTTTATGTATGTATGTAGGACGCATAAAATTATGGTTGATAGGGTAATAGTTCGTGAAACTTCACTTTGATAAGAAAGGAAATAATTTGTCATTATGCTGTTATTTACAAGTGTACCGTAGACTCACACAATACCTATATATAGGAAGTTTTAACAAATACTAGACGTATCTGCTATGTGTTTTTAAAATTAAACAGAACCTGATTTCTCCTCCTCCGGGTAGAACACAACAGGAATAGGGGAGAACCAGGACGCACTTTACAATAGCGGGGTTCGGTGTTTGAGAGAGGGACGCCGCTTAAACAGGACAAAACTGCTTGTTATATACTACTTATATATCGTGTATAGGAGCGGAAATAATATACTATGACACAATATTGTGTATGTCGATTAGTCGATTAGTGAACTCCTCTATTTATCTGGCCATTTAATGTGCTTTTTTTGTGTGTACCCTTTTTTACACACTTTAAAGTTTGTTAGGACATATACCTACATGTATAACCCTTAACATATTTCAAGTTGAAATCTTGAAAAAAACATCGATAAATGCTGCATTTTCAATGATATGCGATTATATATGAGAGGGATATGTACTATTAAAATTTATTATCAATTAAATGTTGGGTGCGACTGAACCGAGTTGAACGTGAAGCTTGATAAATATTTTGGAATATGACTTTGATAAATGATAAAAATTGACGCCTTTTGTAACATATAGTTAAAATATTGTAAATAAAGAATGCACAAAACATGATTACCATATATTATACAAATGTTAGTTTTTTCACCAAATCCACTGGAGCTTGACTGGCAGAATACATGACGGATGATACGGCAATATTTACCTACCACGCGTCAACGTCAGTCACCACTTTGTCAATAGTAACACGATCGTTGCCTCCGGAATTAACTCCGTATTAACAATATTAGCGCAGATTTCCCAATAAATGTTCACATGTTCATAAATAGCCTTAGCGTCCCCGAATTAGGACGCCGAGTGCCGGGAGAAACAATGGCTCAGTAATCGTTACAGCACAGCAGCCGAACAACCAAAGCGAGACAATTCCAACTCTCGCTATTGTTTCCGTGGCATTCATAACCTATTGGAATACATACTGCTACACGCATATTTTTCAAAATATACACAACACAGTATACCCGTTAAAAGGAGGATTCGGCAACACGTGGACCAATTTGGTCCCTCCTTCGTTGCAGGAGTGCCCCATACCCATTTTATCCCGGGTTAGTCTGTACATAATTACATGTATATATTTAATGTGTCAATCTAAATAGGATAAATGTGTGGCGTCAAGGTGACTGTACTGTGTGGCATGCTAAAGTCAAACATCACAAGGGGAAAATATGTTAAAATAAAACAATGGATCCCATCAAACCATATTTTTACGCGTAGAGGTTATCAACAGCGGCCGTGACTGCGCGGCGCTCTCCGAAGCACGCTCGTCATTGATTTTGCTGTGACGTCCTGCCCTTCCCACGGGCAAGTCGGGAATACATGGCCGTCCCTGTTTTTGTTTTTGTTTATGTCATTGTGTAATTATCGCTCGATTGATCAGCCTCCTCGCTCCAGAACGGCAGTCGTCTCTCTTGGTTCACAAACACAAGCCACTGCAGCAAATATATGCAATATGCAAACGTGACTCTCGGAAAATCGAACGTATTAGTAGATAGATGATTGGTTGTCATGGTTTCCCGGTACCACTCGTTGCATTATCATATTAAATGCGGATGAAATTTTCATGAATTACTGAGTCATGTGACTTGGGTATCGCGAAGTTCTCCGAGAAGATCATGGTGGTGGTAGCAATGGCAGACAGACCGAGTGACGTTTGGGTGTTGTCGTGACGTCTGGACACTACCATGTACAAGGGCACAACGTTAACATGTAAGAGGTCCTAGCAGCGGTAGGAGGCGCTCCATCCCCCAAAATAGTTACTCGCACGTGAAATTCAACAAGCCTTGTTCCTGAGGTACCGTCAGTGTATTGGAATTTTCTATGAAGGGTACTTCATGTATATTGTTTACATAATGCTATGTGAGATTCATACTACGATCGCTGTGTAAGTAGAAGCGTTTTATCAAGTGAAATACTTTGTAAATGATATTCAGTTTTTATTATCTGACGATGTATTTGACACATGCGGTCCTTGGAAAGGGGGCGTTTCAATGATGCCCGCCATTATTGTTTTCGCTTTCAAATCCAGCGAAAATGTCCAACTATTTCGCCAAAATGGATAGCTACGGTGGGTCGTGGAAAGTAAGAATGCTGGACTCAATGGAAAGAAACTACTGGAAATGGAAGAAAACTCTATTCTAAGTCAGCAATGGGGAAGAAAATTCAATGTATCGGTCGTTATGTGATGGACGGTGTTACCTTGGGTAAGGGTAACTTTGCCCGCGTGGAGTTAGCGACACACGGAGTTACTGCATGCAAGGTAGGCCACTTCAATTTATACTATTTTCTACCAATCTATGTATTTATTGTAATTTAGTAAACTCATGCTAATGAGTATTGCTGCTGATGCTGAGCGACAGGTGCTCTCTACAACATGACAGGTGCTCGCCACAACAGGCTTGTCGGAGCACACATTTGGCGTTTGGCGATGCGTCACGGTCACGGCTGAAGGGTGGCCACCCTGTGAGGCACCCGTGTCACCAAATACAATACCAAAACATTCGACTTTAAATATTGCATTACTTAGAGACCATTGGTAGCTTAGCTGACGAAGTAGCATTATAATTGAAAATTGGTACGGCACAGGATGTGTAGGTTAGGTCGTCGTCTGGCTTAGCACACTACGACCGTCAGACACGGCACCGTGTGCTTCCATCTTCAACCTACCAGGTTTCAGAGGAACAAATATGCTTGGGCCCCGTATTCATGAAATTGTTCGCATGCTCAAGCATGGATTATGTGCTCAAACAACATTTCTTGTCACTCACTTAAATCATGTCAAACGATCAAAAAGTCAAATGTAAACAATGAAAACAGCATTCGGCTTTAAGTCTCTTCAAAGTTTTTCCAAATCATTGAAAAAATAAGATTTCAATATTGAGTTATAACCAGAACAAGAAATTAGGCTTCAGCACAAAACACATACTTGAGCACTGGAACAGTTTTATAAATACAGGTCCTGGACTATATTTACGCCAAATACTCTGATCTATTTAAAAAGTATATTTACTAATAAAGCCATATTTACAGATTATGTTTACAAAACCAAACATAATTTTGCCATATTTATATCCATATTTACAGAAATAATGTAGCCCAACATGTTTGTGACATATTTAGAATGTGTAAACTAACATCTGTTTGCCGCGTGGGTTTACAGAAGCCTTAATATATGTACCATTTTTACACCATATATATGTACATCAAATATTTCCAAAACAGACACACTTTTACTATATTTAAACATATTTGTTTTTGCACAATTGTATACCATATTTACAAATAATACCACATTATCACACAATATTACAAAAGAAAAAATTCTATGCATAAAAAGGAATCAAGAATTGTTTCAGCAGTTTACACATATACCATACTTTTATTTGTGTACCTAAAGCTTTGGTGAGAACTCAAATAAATCTTGATTTGTTTACTAGATTAAGGCTATATGTCACCAGTATTATATGTATTATATAACTCTCAGTTTGTGTTTATGACGGTAACCTGTTAATATTGTACTAAACCTTTATATATACTATATTTAGGTACCAGATTAAGCTTATATGCCATCATATGTTTATTGTTTATAATAATATAACTATTTGTATGATAATTCAACTTTTATGAGTTAATAATGTTATATTACCATGTATAACAACCCTGTATGGATGTATATGTTATATTACTATGTATGACAACCCTGTATGGATGTATATGTTATATTACCATGTATAACAACCCTGTATGGATGTATATGTTATAT